CCTCTGTGCCCAAGGATCAGAATAACAAGATTGCTCGATTCTTGGAAGGTCAGGGCCAGAAGGAAATGGCGCTCAAGGTTGCCACCGATCCCGAACACCGATTCGATCTCGCTTTGTCCCTTGGAGATCTGGAACAGGCTGTTACAATTGCTCGTGAGCAGGACACGGAGCATAAGTGGAAGACTGTCGGTGATGCTGCTCTCACAAACTGGGATGTCAAGCTCGCGCAAGAATGCTTCGTCAAGGCCAAGGACCTTGGTTCCCTTCTCCTCCTCTACAGCGCAACTTCGGATGCCGCTGGCCTCCGGGAACTCGCTTCCCTAGCCGAGAACGCCACCGCAAACAATGTGGCCTTCTCTGCGCTCTGGCAAATCGGTGATGTCCAGGCATGTATCGACCTGCTCGTCAAGACCAACCGCCTCGCCGAGGCTGTTCTCTTCTCACAAACGTACAAGCCAAGCGCTACCGCTGGACTTGTCAAGCAATGGAAGGAGTCCCTGGAGAAGGAGAACAAGACCAAGGTTGCTAGACTCCTTGGCACGCCGCCTCAGGACGGTGAGGGAGATGCAGAGATGTTCCCCGAATGGGATGAGTACCTGCGGTTGGAGAAAGAAGGCGGAACGGTGGAGGACCTTTTGATCCAGGAAGACGAAGTAGAGGCGGATGATGCCGATGAGGAGATTGCAGCCGATGCTGAAGAAGATGACGAGGAAGAAGACGAAGACGAGGAAGAGAGCGAGGAAAGTGAGGAGGAGAAGTAGGCGTCTGCATCAAGCGTTGTTTTGCTTGGCGGATCCGTTGTAGCTGCAGTTTGACTTTGGATGTGTGGCTGCTCCACGTAGCGTAGGTACGGTAACGGAAAACGATACAATGATACAGATGTTTCAAATATGTGTTATCCAAAGTTGTGATTTGATATATTGTAGCATGATGTGACGTTATATCACGCCCCTTCGTTAAATCTATGCCTAGCCCACAGAAACGCCACCCATATGTACGTTTGTCTTGTCTTCGTGATATTCCAACATATACAAACATTTTACAAGGCCATACTGATATTCAATGGCAGCGTTGTCATTACTGTACGACAGCCTCGTTGGTCGCGCCCTGGTATGCCGAGTCGCGGAATCTCTCCTCACCACTAGCTGTGCTGTCGCTGCTGCTCGCTTCCTCCGATTCTTCGGAAGTGGTGTGAACTTGACTTCGTACGCGCGCATTCATTTCCTCGCGTGTATCGTCCACTGTCTCCATCTCGCGCAGCCCCTTTCCCCGACCGAAGAAGTCTTCTGTCCTCAGTCCACGGACATCGCCCTGCGACATTCCTTTACTGCTCCTCAGCGTGCCGTCTGCCTTCTTTCTCCTGATGTACTCCCGCACTGGCCCCATGGCCGCATCTCTACACGCCTCCTTGATGTCCGAACCGCTCATGCCAGCCGAGACGCGGACTAGGTAGTTTAGGTCAAAGTTCTGGTGGTCGATTTTGGTTCCGCGTAGGATCAGAGAGAAGATGTTGTGACGCTGTGTGGCTGAAGGGAGTGCGACGGGGAACTTCTTGGGCATGCGGCGGAGAATGGCTTCGTCGATATCTTGGATGCGGTTCGTGGCGCCGAGGATGCAAATTCTCTGGGGGGTCGATGTGCCGGAGGAGGTGCTGGATGCGAGGCCGTCCCAGTGGGTCATAAATCTAGGAGTTGTTAGTCCTACTTTCGTCGCAATTGGGGTGGGACGGTATTGAGACGTACTCAGCTTTCACCATTCCGCTGGCCTCGTGTTCTCCACTTCTTCTCTGTCCCAAGACTGCGTCAATCTCGTCGATGAAGACGATACTTGGTTGTAGCTTCCTCGCCAGACTGAAGACGGCGTTGACGAGCTTGTTGCTGTCGCCGTACCATTTCTCCGTTAACGTCGAGATGTGTAGGTTGATGAAGCAGGCGCCGGATTCGTGTGCGAGGGCTTTTGCGAGCATAGTCTTTCCGCAGCCAGGAGGGCCATAGAGGAGGACACCGCTGGGTGCGCTGAGGAGCGAGGAAGAGTGCGAGTAGAGGTGGGGCATGGTCAGAGGGTAGATGACGGATTCTTTGAGCTCCTCAATGATAGAGTCGAGGCCGCCAATGTCTGGAATGTGTCAGCGTTGCATTGCGACCCAGGCTTCCAGTAGGCCAATTCGCGCGCACTCATGCGCATGATTCCACAGCCCATGGCTCAAGCCCGGACGAGTTTGTGACGTACCCTCGAAGCTCACGGGAATCTCCTCGGGCGCAACCACCTCCATGGCAATCGTCTGCTCGTAGGTATTCAAATTGAGATCCTGTATCCTGGGCCGTCTGTGCCTCGATTCTGTGTCTTCCTCATCTTCACTGTCGTATTCGCCGTAGCTTTTCCGCCGCTTGCTTGTAAGGATGGCGTCGAGTTTACGTGTGGCGGCTGAGGCTTTGGCGCGGGCCTCTTCTTTTTGTTGAGCTTCCGGGTCGAGGCGTGTGAGGAGGTTGCGAATTACGAAGTAGGCTATTAGTGGCTACGGGGATATGAGCATGTAGTCGGCAAGGCAGTGAGGGGCACAGTGGGTGTGGGGAGACTGTGGCGCGTTGGTGGATATAGACGTACTGCTGCAGCTGCCATGAGGATATCTGGGAGATAGCCCGTAAGGCTGCTCTTCTTATTTGCGCTCATGCTCGCTGGGCTGCACTTTCACCAGTGCGCTCGTCTCTGCAGATAGCGTGGGCTTGTGCTCAAAGAGCGAATGCTGGGTCGGGAGGTTGATAGAGCGTGCGGTGTCGATGCCAAAAGTAGGGACCGATGCAGGAACCGGGCCGCGGCTGCGTCGACCTCAAGCCCGGCGTCACACGAGCTCCGCTCCGCATCCTTGGATCGCATCACATCGCATGCCTTCAACTGCACCCTTCACTCGCACGCATAGTCACAATGGCCGCCGCATACAAGCCCACTGAAGCCATCGCGCTCATTCGACCAACATTCGTCTTACCGCGCATCCGGGCCTCAAATCGCAGAGCGCACATCGGGCGCATCGCCTTCTCCACCACCCACCATGCACAAGCCACACATACGTCGACGAGCAGTCCGACGCCAAAACCGCAAAGGAAGTCGATTTCTTTGACCGGCGACACCGGCCAAGTCCGATGGTCTGATCTGTCACCGGGCGAAAAGGCAGTGCGGACCACCCAGCAGAGCTTCAACTTTGTAGTGGTCCTGGTGGGCATAGTAGCAACTGTACAGCTTCCCCTCACCGAGTCCACTTTTGGAAGCGCAAGGCTAACCACTCTACCAGGGCGGCGTGGGCTACTTCCTGTTCTCCGATGTCTTCAGTCCCTCCTCCAAGACTGCCTACTTCAACCGCGCAACGACACTTATACGTCAGGACCCCCGATGTCAAAAACTACTGGGTCCAGGCGCCGAAATTGCAGCTTTTGGTGAAGGCTCTTGGTCGCGATGGGCGCGCAATCGCTACCTCAGCAGTACCGAAGAGACTGACAAGTGGGGCACTGAGCATCTGCGCTTCAGATTCTTTGTCGAGGGGCCGTTGGGACAGGGCGTGGTACATGTACATTTGACCAAGAGACCAAGTCAAAATGACTACGACTACGAGACGCTTGCTGTGGATGTAAAGGGTCATCAGAGGATCGATCTGATTTCCGAGAACAAGAAGGACAAGGTTGCGCCCAAGATTTTTGGCGCGCGGTGGTGGTGAAGACAAATCTCACAGCTCTTCGCAATGGGCTCTGGTGGTCGAGTAGCCATACATCCCTCCAACCAAACCTTTAAATTCTCGCTGTTGAACAGGCAGTTCGTGTCAGCCAACATGCAATTTGTTTTTCCATCCTCAAACGGGCCTTCCCGATGCGCACAGATATGAGAACAGAGCAGGGGCAAGGTAGAAACCTGTGTGCTAGCGCACCACGGACTACACACGACTCTCTTCCCCTGCCCGGGCAAACTTGGTCAGCAAGATTGGGCCAAACCACTGCATTTTGTTTGTGCTTGCTCTAATTGTTTTGCTTCTAGATCCATCAAAATACGTCACACGAGGCTGACAAAAACCATGTGACCCCTCCAGCCTCAGCCATCAAATCCAACTTGACCACGTTCACATATGCACGCTACGACCTTGTGCATCGCCCCCCTAAACCCTGACCCAGAAGCATCGTTTCTTGAGCCCAAACATCAACCACAATGCCCGTGTCCATATCCCCAGCCCAGCCCAAAGATGCAGTCGACATCGCCGCCCTACATGTCCAAGCGTTCAGCCCCAACGCCCTCATGCGAGCCATCTACCCCACCCCTGCTATATGGGCAGCACTTCAGGGCTGCGTCGAAGAAAAAATCTTAGCTGACATGAAGGAGCCCAAAATTACAGTCCTAGTCGCTAAACACACGGACGAGGCTGAAGTGAGGGAAGAGCAAGGTAAGACTGTAGGCTATGCCGTGTGGTGCCATCCGATCAAGGCCGAAGAGCAGGACTGGAAACTACCAACTTGGAAGTTGCCGGAGGGCACTGATTGGAATGTGTTGAAGCCTTGGTTAGCGGCCGCTGGAAAGATTGTGGAGGAAGTCATTGGGCATACGCCGCATTATGGTAGGTGGTGGTGTTACGTGCTTCTGCATGACCTGAGATGCGGACTAACTGGAGGTCTAGATCTTATGTGGCTCGCCGTATCACCTGATTATTCTCGAATGGGTATTGGTACATTGCTACTACGTTGGGGCATGGACTTGTGCGAGAAGGAAGGGGTGTCTGTGTACTTGGACAGTACTCTCGAAGCTGCGCAGACGTTTTATCAGAAAGCGGGCTTCATAGAGAGGGGTAGAATCAGGTTGGTAGTTAATGAGGAGATGTACGAGGAGGTCGCTTTTGTGTACGAGCCCAAGCGATAGACGATACCAGAAATGATAATCGCCGAATTGCTATGAAGATGAATAGTCCTACCCGCTTTTTTCCAGCCTACGTCCAAGTCTCGTGTGCTCAGGCCGCATTTCCAGACCGTTCAAAATGAGTGACCCAGTTCCCTTCTCGCAAGCATACTCACGATCTCTTTGGTTAGCATCGTCGTCATGGCCAGGTCAGGATCATGATCTGGATTGACCTCTGCGATGGACAGTCCAACGACATTGGTGCTAGCCATGAGTACTGTCAGGGCTTGCATCATCGTCTGAAATGCCACACCTGTAAAGTTTGGGACATTTGCCAGCGGGAATTCGCCTGGATCAATGGAGTCAATATCAAGATGGACCCAGATAGCCTCAACCTTGTTCTGCTCAAGGTGCTCCAATGCTTCGTTTGCACGTCCTTCCGGATGGTTTGCCACCGCTTCTGACGAGATGACTTTGAAGTGCTCGTCGTCCAGATATGCTAGGTGCTTCGGCTTGTTCCCCGGGTGGGGAAGGTTTGTGCCAAAGAAAACTGTGTTGGTACTATCGCAGAGCTTCTCACGAGCGAGTACAGGGTCTCGTGTGCCTTCCGACTCATCACTAATTGCCCCGGGCCGCGCCATGAGCTGCGTCATCGTCTGCAGATGAAGTGTACGAAGTCAGTGTTTGGCTCACGTTCCTCTTGCGTCTGAAGTTTGCTCACCATGCTTGCAAAGTAGCCCTTCCAATCGTCGTCCAAAGGTGAGTGCAGATCAGTGTCTGCGTCGATATAGATGAGACCAATAGTAGAGTCTTGGTACTCTTGCTTGACAGAGGAAAGAATGGCTGGCAGCATGCAGCACTCGCCCCCAAGAACTAGCTGGAATGCTCTGGGCTCCGCCTGGAAGTTCACGGTCACCTTCTTTCGCACTCTGCGAAGGAGCTCCAGATTACCCGTCCTGTTGCGGATATTGCCTGGTACGAAGGGGCTGGGCTTGTAGGTCACCTCTCCGTCGAGCACGTCCGGTCCCGGGGCCGGGCCATCGCTGTCGGGGAATTGACTTGGGTCGATGTCAATAACGTTTACGCCCGCTTCGACCAGTCTGCGGTAGATGTCGACCGTTTTGAAAGCCGCAGCCGCCCTGGACTTCCCTGGTATGATGGAGCCGCAGTCGGCAGCCACGTACGTTACGCATGTCTTTCGCGACTGGTCCATGGTCGTGGTTTGTTGATGCAACTGAGATGGAAAAAGCGTGATTGGAGTAGTTACACAAATGTAATGACTGGTCTTCACTGTAGGCGGGGAAGGATGAATCTACACTGACATGTTGCTCATAGGGCGTGCATGCTGGAGTCTGACTACTCTGGCAGCGACATGACCGCAACCAGCTCACCTATTCTCACATTCCACTGTGAGTTGATTCGTTCCCTCAGTCAACATGTCACCTAGGCCTTGGCGTAAGCTGGCGTGAGTCTGCTTCCAATGATGCCTGGCGACGCCGGTGCCACCTTGCAAAGGCGCGGTGACTGTATGCTACAAGCAAGCTTCTTGCGTCGGCTCAGCGGGAGAGCGAGTGACGATGTTAATGTATCCCTGGAAGGTACAAAGGAAGTGTCATGGATGGTCGCGGCTGATGAACCCGACACGCGTCATGGTGGGAACTTGATGAGAGACAGCGGGTACTTGCTTGTGAAGATTGCAAACGAGGTGTATGCCAGCACATGAAGGTATATACCGGATGGTGCTGCTAGCTCAAACATGGGCTGAAGCCAATGTCGCATTCGCACAAGCTCGCATTCGTCAAACGACGATAAATTTTCAGCCACCATGACTCGACGCACCACCAAAGAACAGAGGAATTGAGTGCACGCTTATGCGCACGCCCCATGGGGATTGACATGTTGAGTCGGGGATGCGCGCCATGCTTTAGCAGCTGATGCAAAGATCCATATTTCAAAGATGGCACGGATAGAGCGGGCGTGGTCTGGTCGGGCAACGGACCAATGGCAGCGAATCCTTGACACATTCGCAGCTCTCGCACGTTGGCGTTGCATCATGGCTCACACAGTCACGACGCGTTTGGGCTCCAGTTTGCAACTTTGCTTCCCATTTCGGCGACCCCTTTGATCGCTTCTACCCGCCGGCCCTGTGTTTCGGATCCACAGCCAGGTCGCGACCGAACGCAAATGTATTTTGGGTTGCGGTCCGAGGACCATTACGCACAGCAAAGTGCCGGACCATCGTAGCCGGAGTACTCAAAGTCTCATGGCGCCTCCAACGTGGCGGTCGTCCTCATCTCTTCTTCTTCTTTTTCCATAAGCACAGCAACCGCACAGCGCTCCCCTCTCCTACGCAGCACCCGCCGCAATGGAGCCCTCGACCACCAACTCGTCGGAGCACACGCACGTCGACTCGCACGAGATGCAGCAGATGCCGCCCACGTACCCCTCGCCCTCGATGCAGCCCGAGCAAGCAACCGGCAAGACGCGGGTCAGGTTCAACAGCTCGGCCAACGTCGAAGTCCCTGCGCCCCTAGAACACGTCCAGAGCTACACCCGCATCAGCGAATCCGGGTCGAATGAAATCACCACCAACGAGCACACCACCGACGCCGAAGAGCTCTGGAATGCATACCACACCGGCCAACAAAGCCACAACGCGCCGCCGGTGAGCGAAGTGGATCCCGAGGGCGCCTACACTGTCACCGGCAACACCAACGGCGGCATCTTCTACCAGCTGCTGCAAGCCTACAAGCAACCGGTGCGCGGCTATACCGATACATCCTCCGAAGCCAGCGAGACATCACCCACACAGAGGTCGCGACCTGGCTCTTCTTCAGGACCCAGCACCCCCTCGAAGAAGAAATGGTACAACGCAAACAAGCCAATGCAGTCAACAGAGACGCTGGCGACTCTCGTTGGCGCTTCAGCCAAGCTGGCAAACCCCAAGGATGACAAGAAAGACGCCGCCATGCGCCCGCGCCATCACAAGCGCAGCAGCAGTGGAGGAATCATTGCCAAGGTGTTGAAGCCAAAGGAAGACCAGGATGCCAAGATCAAGATACACGTTGCAAACATCCTCAAGCGACAGCAGTACATCATTCGCATGTGTCGCGCTCTCATGCTCTTTGGCGCACCCACACATCGCCTCGAAGAGTACCTTGCGACAACGGCCAAGGTCCTTGAGATCAACTCCCAATTCCTCTACATCCCCGGGTGTATGATCATTTCCTTCGATGACAGCATGACCCATACCGCTGAAGTCAAGATCGTTCGCACCGATCAAGGCGTCAACCTCGGCAAGCTGAAGGACACTCACGACATCTACAAGGAGGTTTTGCACGATGTCATCAGCTTGGACGAGGCTCTTGCCCGCTTGGACGAGGTCATCAACGCAAAGGATCGCCATCCACGTTGGCTGACTGTCCTCATGTACGGTCTTGCTAGTGCGGCAGTCTCTTGCTTCTTCAAGGCCCGCCCCATCGACATGCCTGTCATCTTCGTACTCGGCATTATCCTCGGTCTGCTCCAGCTTGTCATCGCTCCGCTGTCCAAGACATACAGTACTGTCTTCGAAATCACTGCGACTATCCTCATGAGCTTCCTTGCGCGGGCGTTTGGTAGCATCAACAACGGGAACCTCTTCTGTTTCTCGGCCATTGCACAGAGCGCCATCGCTCTAATCCTTCCCGGGTGGTTGGTGCTCAGCTCGGCCCTGGAGCTCCAGTCTCGTGCTATCGTACCGGGATCTATCCGCCTCGTTTTTGCCATCATCTACTCGCTCTTTCTCGGATACGGCATCACTGTCGGCACAGCTATCTATGGTGCGATAGACTCAAACGCCACCAACTCGACCCAGTGCCAGGATCCAATGAACCCATACTGGAATTTCCTCATGGTCCCACTCTACGTCTTCTTCACGACCTTCACGGTACAGGCCAAGTACAAGCAGATGCCGGCTATGATAACGATCGCGTTCGCTGGCTACATTGTCAACTTCTACGCTGGCTTGAAGTTTTCGTCGTCTGCCCCCATCGCCTACACATTTGGCGCCTTCACTATCGGCGTGTTGGCAAACTTGTACAGCCGATTACGTCATGGAGTTGCAGCTGCCGTCCTCCTACCCGCAGTATACGTCCAAGTTCCGGGCTCTCTTGCGTCGAGTGGCAGTATCAACTCTGCCCTACGAACAGCATCAGCTCTGATCAAGGGCGCAGAGACATCGACCGACGTCAGCAATCCTTCATCTCGCTACGAAAACATCACTAACGTAGCGCAGACCACGACCGACAGCCTCAATGCCATTGTCTTCAATGTCGCTGCGTCCATGATCCAGATTGCTATCGGCATCACTGTCGGGTTGTTCATGGCTGCCCTTCTGGTCTACCCCATGGGCAAACGACGCAGCGGTCTTTGGACACTCTAAAGTATACATTCTAATATTTTCTGTCATGCATAGCGATATGGCGTTATAGCGACCCAAAATGGGAGGAGTTTGGGACATCTACCTGCTAATGATCTATAGTACTCGAACACCAAGATGTTCAACTTCAATGACCCACATGGAGATGAGTGGTGTCGAGGTGAAATGTGAAGGTAAGCCCCATTGCAACACGAGCGACTCTATCCGAAGCAGTTGTCGACTCGCCTTGCGACAACCATTTCCAAGCAGCAAGCCGTTGCGACCACTCCACATTGGTTTCCATGCGACATCCGGACCACGCAGCCCTCGCCGGATTTGGACTTCCACAGCGACCAACCTACGCAGCATTGGCCCTAGCAAAACATCCCAAAGAACACCATCATCCGCCTGGATCCACTGCAACCCATCGCCGGATTTAGACCTTGCGCCCAAGCCTCCCATCGGTCAACTTCTGCTCCATGCATCTACTCCCTTTCACGGCACACGATATCTCACCTATACCTCCGCGCCCACTCGTCCTGTTTGTGATGCTTCGCTTATGATTGCGAAGCTCGCACAGGTTGATGGCATCATGCACTGCGTAAACGCCCTGATGTTGATACCCCATCCATAGCCATCTTTTGCTAACCGAAGCTATTGTGTGCAACGTGTCGTGACGTGTCCTATCCTGTCTTATGTGTTTTAAAAGGAACAGTACATACAACGGAAGAGCTGTTCGAAGAGCAAAGCGTTTAGATATAGCATCTAGACATGAAAATATACCCTTGTTTTCCAAGACCTTGCTTTCCACACCTGAAATATACTTGAATCTTCTGAAACAGCAACATGCTCGTCGTTGCATGCTAAGATGAATGTCAAGCGTGGGCACGAAGTCACAAAGTAGTCAGTCAGACTCTTGCTAGTTATTAAGGAGTAAAAAGATGAATGAAGAGTGGCGAGGTGTATATCACGTAGCCAGTGTATCTAGCGCTGCCTCATAGCAGTGACGTAGCATGAAGGTCTGCGCTCGGTGACATCACCTCCGATCCAGGAACAGATGAGGTATTAGGTAGGTGTACAAGCTTTGTAGTCATCGAGCGATCACGGCGACTTCGTTAATCGGAATCACTGCTAGCGAAGCATCACCAAGCTTCTCGTACCAACACTTCGTATCTGCAGCCCTCCATCGAATCGCAATGAAGCCCCGGTGCACAGACTTCTCCCAAGACTTGCGCAACGTCGAAGCTGAGGTACAGTCACCTTCTAGAAGACCCGTAGAAGACGCACTGACACATGTGAGACCATGTCCGTTGAGCTCTGGAAAGGGAACGGTCTTGGATCGGGTCCGAAGCGTGCATACTATGATTTGATTGGTGCCGGACGGCTTACGAGATACGGGTATGCAGTCAGCATTGTGGCAGTGGTGTCATCGGTGGTAGTTCGGACCCGCTTTGACTTAAGACTGTAGGTATCAAGATGAATAGTCAGAGGAGTCGCTAGTATGCGTAATGTCGCATAAAGCTAACCATTTGATTTGTGCTTGTGTTGAGTAAAGAGCATCTCTGATAACCGGCCCTTGTCAAACGACGAGATGGAGCGTATGCATGTTTCCAGACTGTTGCAGGTATCAACGTACATGATCCTACTGGTACATTATCAAAAGCTCTTTCTAGATGATAGATGGGCAGATGTGCTGCAGGCGGCGATCATCTGTCTTCCCCGTCACTTGTTGAGCATTGCATGATAATGGCTATAAATCGTACGATAGATCTGAACGGTGGGGTCTGGTAAGGCAGCGGACCTAAAGCAGCGATAGTTGTCGTAGGGCTGTTAGTGTCCGCCAGGATCTACAAGCGCTGGACCCTGACGTGCGTTCTGCGCTACTACGCTTTGGGATCGTGATAGATGGCTCGAAAGTGAGAAGGTGAGTTGGACTGAGATAGTTGATCCAAATCCATAGCATTGGGACGGGGATGTGGTACAGAGGCCGTCTAACTGTATGTCACACGTCCCATGGTATTTGGAATGAGCGAAACATGGCAAACCAACGTTGCTACTGGACAGCCTCGTCTATTCTGTGTAGATAATGCAGAGTATTTGCATTAACATTCGACACTTCGGTCTAGCGTTGTGTATGTTTCTTGGTGCGCTGTGCCCTGATGCGGATGCCGTGAAGCGGGTTGTAACTCGCCTATGTCCGCCAACTCGCAGGTTGATCTCCTCTCCCGCTACTGACCGTTTAGCCGGTGAGATAGCCTCGAAGTTTCATGGGTTTAGGGTGTAAGCTGGAGATTCATGTTGCGGAGAACGAGGTGTGTCAGCAGCGGGGCAGAGAGGTTGTGTTGTCGGTTAGGGATGGCACACTAATGACTTGCAGCGCCGAGACCAAATCGGCGCAGGCTTTAACGAGTATGCTTGACGGCAGCGAATGTGGCGGGAGAAGGACCATCAGATAAGATATACGATTCGCTTGAGAATGTATCGGCTGGCAATCCTACTACGAGGTTAGACCAAATAGCCCCATGCGGACCAGGTGGATGCGTAAGACGGCGGGCGGTGGTTTTTCAGCCTACAGGCTCGTTTCGCGAAAGCAGCTCCAGACCGGCAGGCCGAGCCGGTGCGTCCCTCTTGCGAACGTCACTAGTGCGCCGCCACGCTGGAAGTGCAGAATTACTGGTTTCGGTAAGTAGTCCAGCGTAGTCACAGCAGAACGCCGTAGGGCTGTCTCTTTCCACGTGGGTCGTGCAATGTAAGAATCACACCATACCGGCCAGGTGAGACTCTTCACAGCCTGGCACAAGGCATCGATAACGTTTCGAGCACCAGACATTTCTGCATCCTGTAGCCTGCTTGGATGCATACGGTGAGTATATATCACCTTACGCCGCCGAGCATTTTCCTGATGTAAGATGGTGGTCGCTTGGGAATGTTCATGAACAAGGCTACTGATAAGTCATGGCAAGCGCGCTTACGTAGGTAGACTTTCAGCTCAGTTAGCGTTCCACGTGCTGCCACCATAGGGTTCTTTTTCGGCCACCCCCAGGCAGCTGTACCCGACGCTCACCGATCGCCTCCCGACCCTGCGAATACCTGCTTTCCTTCAAATGCACGACAAGACATGTGAAGGAGCGCATTCTACGCTCTGCTCTTTGTATCAAGCTAGCGAAGCATACGATAGCTGTCTTTTTTCCATAGTCGCACCCGGAAGTCGTAACGCATCCGAATGCGCTAAAGCCTGGCATGGTTGTTCTCGCCAGAAGGGCGCAATACACATGGTACCGAGTTATAGCAGTGGTAGCCAATATAGCCCCTGTGTCGGTATTCTCGCAGCGAGCGAGGAAGAGCGGTGACAGAATTGCATGCACTTTACATCGTTCCCAGTTAGCGCGAACGACACTTCACTACGACCGAACTTCGGCCCAAGGCTCGCAGTGGAAGCGGAGGCTCAACAGCCCAGCTGAATGTAGTTGTGAGTCAGTGCATCGCTCTGACGTCGTCATGTAGACAAGCTCTTAGACTCAGCGCAATACAGAGCGTCTATGTTGAGGTATGTGAGCCCCTCACTACGGATGTTGTTCGATTGATCATTCAAGATACCTCATCACAGCCAAGCACTGCAGAGCTTTTGGAGATCGAGCCCTACCATGCATCTTGTGCGGGACGATAATCCTCAAGTGGGGTGGTTTTTCTTGAAGACAAGACCAGGCACCTCTCTGACTGCCACCGAGTGTGACAGCGAACTACTTTGATACCGTGGCTTTGGTTGGCTGCACATTGTTGCAGCTAGTTCAGCATGCGTACTAATCTTTTTATCAAAGACTTGAAAGAGTAAAGCGCACGCCTCCATGCAGACCCCTGTCTCGCGGCCATGGCTGGTGTAACTCTGGGAACCACTGGAAGACGAGAATAACAACAACTGGTGTGCTTGCTGCACTGGTGGGCCGTGCTTCGGACGCGTGTGCCGGTAGCAGCTGTATGAGCATGCAATTCAAGCTATCTTCTGCACGTATTCCACTGAAAGCCACATCTTCAGGGTCCACCATGGCCGTTGGGGTTGTTCGCGGGCATAATTGCATGGTCAGATATCCCTGCTCAAGCCACTGGCCGCCATCTCATGTGACTCGACGCGGTTCCGAAGGAGACATGCGCGACGTCCGCACAGTGTATAAGATCTCAGCTTGCCCACCGTTGTGTAAGCCATCTCCACCACACACGTATCTCAACTTGAACTGACACGACACTTGCACATTATCTCAGCAGCGGCTTCCAACAGAAGTCTTAATCACAAGAAGAACAATCGCTCATTCCTATACACCATTCTGCCTTGCGCAAAGACTTACCAACTTTCTCGTCATCACTTATCTGCAATCGCAAATCACACACAATGGATTCCCACTCATTCGATTACTGGATGGCACAGGGAAACTACATCGCCCCAACACACCAGCCAGCCGTATTTGAAATGCCTCAAGATCTTTCCAAGGTTCCGAGTCTAAGCGGGTCGCCTGTGAGTCTTATGTTGAACTCCCCTAGTCTACAAAACTGACTTGCTCAAGGTCTCATCTACATACGACCAATTTCCTGCACCTATTCACCAAGCTTACTACCCTCACATCGTCGATGAGCCTATGCAGTTTGGATCATATCCCATGCCAATGACACCCTCCGATTTCGGATCCGATCACGACAGTCCATACTGCAGTCCTCGACCACTGCAGCACGCTGAATCTACGTTCGGGACTATGCCTACGCCCGCGCCAGCCGAACGAACACACACTACCTCAGGGGTATGTATCCTATATCGCACAAATAAAACCTAAGGCTAACATTTGTACAGCGACGAAGGGCTCAAAATCGTGCCGCTCAACGTGCGTTTCGAGAGCGGAAAGAGAAGCACGCCCGAGATCTTGAAGCGCAGCTTACGGTCTTGAACGAGAGATACACTAAGCTCGAAGTATCGCATACGGAGCTTAACGCGGCCTACGAAAAGCTTCGAAAGACCATCGAGCTTCTTACACAGGACGACGACGCGGAGGGTGAGGATGATGAGGGTACAGTCACGCGCAGGCGAGGGAGCAATTCGGATACCCTCCGCAAGCTCCTGGATATACTACATGGGGAATTCAAGGGTACGGTACCCGTAAAGACAGAGATATCCTAGCATCTCGTTGGCTAAAGATGCTCGGGTACTGCGTTTCCTTATTTTCAGCTTCGCTTCTTGTCTATACCCATTTTGCTTTTGCGTTCAAGCCAGCGTTCATTGGGCACTAGCTCCAGGTGTCTCTCAGCTACATTTACTTTTTCGTCTGCAAAACCCTGTTCACCAAGAATTTCTGAATTACTTTCCAACGCGTGGTGTGACGATCACCACTGGTTGATACCAGCCTTCACTACATGGTCAAGACCCACGAAGCTACGGCCAATCTATCGTAGATAGTACCTAATACGGAATTGTACCCACCATACTGTAAGATGGACTTCGCCTACGCGCTTTGAGCCCCTTGAGGACCTGTGTGATTCCCATTCCTGGCCATAGGCGAGCGTACGTGAATACGATCGTCCGGATACTTGCTTCCTGTGATTGACAACAGCCCCAAATCGCTCCCCATAATTCCGCATTGAAGCACTGAAATGCCGATATAGGAAGCCGGCCCGTCAGCATCAGCCAAATTACCTATACATCTCCGCAATGCCGCCAATGAACGTCGCAGAAACTCCGATCGGAGTATGCTCATCTCTCACCAGCCCCAAAATCTCACAGTGGCACCCGGGGTTTGATCGTGGGAAAGTCAGCTGTGGCAGATAGCCCGAAGGATGGGAAGCTAGGACCCGACGGTACCCAGTCGTCTCACTTCGTGGCCGCAGTGAAGTGGCCGTCTGCCAGATTTGGGCATGCTACGTATTTGACGGCATTGAAAGTTTTGTCCTATTTGCGGGTTAAGAACTTCCTGATATGGCCATCAGATGTGCATCGTGAAGTTTGAGTTTGGAGAAGAGGTCTCTCGTTTATAGTGTTTTGGGGGCAGATCAGGCGTTACGGAAAGGGTACCCGGGTGTTGGACCTCGGTGAACGCCTACGCACGTGTATCGCAGTCGGCCCCGAAGCCACCATCTTCTCACAGTCTGGTTTCCAGAGCGATAAGATGTTGCAGTAAGTCTTTGCACCATCAGTCTATCATTGTAGAGAACCCAAGGGCGTTTCTTGACTGTCACCCACCAAGCAAATGTTGCCGGCAAGGATATCGCCCCATAAACTTTGACCACCGACTACCATAATCCTGGGACGTCGCTGTACTTTACCATGCCAAGTCCAGCTCGCGACTTCAACGATATGCGCTTCCAGCGTATGACACAGAGCAAATGTCAAGCGATGCACCCAAAGCGCGACGCGAGCGCGACCTCGTAAATGCAAGCCCTCACACGCGACAGATGGAGGCGTATGACGCCAAACCCAAAGTCGCCGCCGCTCGCCCTCCCACATAGCTCTTGCCCCACCCACAATTGCGCCTTGCATCTTGCCATGTCCAGGCAGCACGGTAATAGCGAAAAGGTAAGAATAGACGAGGCAACCGTGGACTAGCAGCTCGTATCTATCGAGTCCTTAGTTTGCACTGAACAATCCCGCAGCCTTACGACCTGACAAAGCTTGATTATTGCCGCACTCGATTTCCTGCACGACGGGAAATCGCGCTGCACTCTTACCACCCAAAAATAGCTGTTTTGCCGCACGATACCACCTCACTAATTTGAGGGTGGGAATGACGACATCGGCAAACTTGATGTCCACAACAGCTTCCGGTGTTGAGGGTCTGCTAGTATTGGTGTACCAGCTTTGGCCCATACGCGGATGCTGTCAACAGATGTTAGCTCGGAAGCGTTCTTTCCCAAAGCGACCACATCGATGAGCTACTTCATGGTTTCGCCGAAAGAGGAAGCGACCAGTGGGTAATCGTATCCAGAGACTAACCACATAGGTGAAGTTGTCCATAAACTATACTAAATATTTCCTCTATAGTACTTAATCTCTAGTAGTCGGTGAACGTGAGGAACCACGGAGTGACATCACAGCCTTGGGGGGTATCTTGATGTGAGCGAACAGTGTGAGGATTATTACGTAGTAGTCTAAGATCATTAATTAGTTGCCCTCCCTAGTAGAAATGTGAAACCGTCTCCGCATCGATGTCCTCATGTTTATCCCGTGACGTAACGCCAATCCCCAAATGTCATGTTTCAGATCGTTTCTCATTAATGGACAGGCCTTGGTGGAAACAAACTTCCGTCGTCATAGGTGATGCTTTCAGCAAGCAATGTTACCGGCCGTCGCGCCGGTACCTTGGCCTTCTGGCGCAGCGACGAAGTCGTCGCTGGTCAAGGCCCTGCTGAACATCAAACAGGCCGTCTCTAGTTGTCCGCCAGCTGTGCCATAGTACCCTGCCGGTACTACCACGTTCTCTGCCCAGTATGATGTCTTGCACTCTGTGTGGTATCCGTAGCCGTAACATTGTTGAAGGCACTGCTGTGCCATGGCGGTTGTATTCGACGAGTAGGAAGGGTAGTAGGAGCTGTAGAGGATGTCGTCGTGGGCAGCCGGCGACGGTATGTAAGATGCATTTGACCCAGTGGGCAGAGGGTCGGTGACGGTACAGGTTGCGGGGATAGGTACAATTGCAGGGCCGCCCGCCCGAGCAACTGTATTCGACGTAGGTAGCGCGGACGCCAGCGAGCAGAAGGCCGTAGCGAGGATTGTGGTTGAAGTGAACAACATGTTTACTGAAGAAGTCGATAACCAAACAACGACTGTTGGAAGGATATATATGTAGATTGAATGTGCAGGATTAAGATGCAGTTGCCGGTGGATGGCCCCACGATAATTGACGCGTTGGAAGCTGTATAAGTATTCCTGCGCCTCGCTGCATGATGCCTGTTGGTGTGATGTCAATGTGGGTAGGTGGTAGGGCCAACTCGCTCGTCAGTGTTCAGCCGCAGCGCTGTGCGTCCAACAGCATTTAGCCTGGTAACGATCGCCGCTCAAAGCCACTTTTAGTGCGACTATACCTCGCAACCTTTATCCCTCCCTCGTACGTATGCCCTCTAACAAGGGGCGATGTAACGGGCATGACCATCTACGAAGAGTTTGCTGATGCCGCATTGTCCGAGATGATGTCAAGGGCACTTTTGCTGTGACACCGGCCCATCAAGGTTGGGAGCAACGCAGGGTAATCCTGGAATAGGCCGTCTTCGTCATATTTGTTCGCTGGTGAAATGTCTCAGACCCGATGGCGCGCGCTTTATTGTGTTGGTGGTGATATTGTCGTGCGTGAGGGATGACCAGAGCCGCGGAAAGAAGCTTTACTAGAAGCGGAGGCGGTTTTCTCCGCATGGGGGAAGGAAGTGCAACTCGACACGCCACCAATATACCAACATACTGGGATCCATACCTCTCAATTGTAGCGGTCTTTCGTAGAAACGAACCTGCACAGCAGCCATGTCGACACGCAACAAAAAAAGTGAGTAGTTTTAGAAGAGACTGAATTTAGGCAATGCAGGTGGTGACGACACCATCCCACACCCTAATGGCGCTTCGCATCATCTTCCGTAGTCGACCATCTCACTGCGATGAGGAACATCTCAGAACCCATCATCCATCTTGAGTATCACACACCATGGCTGCGCCCCCAAACAAATCTCTACAGTCCCTTTCCGGCAAATGGCAACTAAACAAAGCCTGCTCCGATGACTTTGCCTCAGTCCTCGCACTGCAGGGCGTCAACGTCCTAGTCCGCAAGACAGCCACGGCAGCATCCATCCATCTGAACATAAGCCAGCCCGATCACCAACACATCAAAATGGCGCAGTCAATCACGAGCGGCAAAATCCCCGGTACGACCGAAGAGTACACGTTGGACTACGAGTGGCGTACCAATAAGGACGGTTTCTTTGGTGAGGTAGCCGGAAGGAGTCAATGGGTCAGTGTTGAAGAGGGGAGGCAGACGGGAGTAGTTGATGAGGGCGAGGGTGACTGGATCGAAGGAGATAGCGACGGGAAATTGATCCACGCAGAAGGAAAAAAAGAGGGCGAGTGGGAGGCTAGTCATCTTTGGGGTTTCGAGGTTGTTGATGGAGAGAGGAGACATACGAGACGTGTGAAGGTCAGCAACAGCAAAGGCGAGGAGCTGAGGGTGAGAATGGTGTATGACTTTGTGAGCGAATAGCTTGTCAAGCTGCAACACGCGGTGAAGGCAAAGTAGCACACGCAAAAGAGCTAAGTACACCCAGAGCATTGATTGCGAGACTTCGTCTCAGTGTTGAATTATGCCAAAAGCTGATCGTGCATGTCTGATGTTTCCAACTATCTACACCTGCCTTGGCAATACACAAATGTTATCCACTGTCCGCTCTTCAGAAGACCTTGCCGAATGAACTGAACCTGTAAACTAACTCCAACTCTGCGCAGCGAGACTGTCAAACAATCGAAAATGACCTGCGCCAAGACAACGTTCTCTCTCGCTTTACAGGTTCCTTATTTCCAGCCACTTAACCCTGCCCATGGGTCATTGCCATTCTGTCCTTGCGCTGGCCTCTGCTGGTTCGCATACCCGCCAGGTCCATTCGGATACCCTCCTTGGCTAAAGTGACTGTAATCTTGCTGATTGTGACTCGGTGGCGGTCCCGGGGGAGGTGGCGGTGGAACATAACCCTGTGGTAGATTATTCTGAGGTGTACCACCCCATTGTTGTTGCTGGTTTGGAGGGGGTTGACCCCATGGCTGATGCTGCTGATGCTGTGCAGGTGGCGGGGAGAAGAATTGTTGATGTGCCGGTGGGGAGACCGGGTTGTATTGGTTGTGAACCGCGGGATTGTAAGCCGAGGAGCCCTGAGAGTTCTGGGACTGATGTGTAGGGTATTGTTGTTGGTAGCTCTCTCGACGCGGAGGTGGTTGCTGGTTGTAGCCGTTCGAGGGTTGACCATAGGACTGCTGTGGCGACATGTATTGTTGCCCTGGGCCTGTGGTCATCGGGTAGCGCGGTGTGACTGGTGGTGAAGCCGCGGGGTTATAAGCAGGATGGCCAGCCCCCGAACTTGATGGGTAGCCCGGTGTAGAAGACAGTGGTGGTGGTATGCTCTTCTTGCGACCTCCACCTTGTGATACCGGCGAACCCG